TTACGATATCGCTCGATTATCGAGGGCTCGGGGTGTGCTACCCGTGAACCCGCGGACGTACTATCCGGAGATGCACCTCGTGCAGAAGACGATGAAGGGCTCTGCCCGCAGGCGCCCTCGGAGCCAACTAGGCTGAGTGTTTTTTGTGTCATAGACACAAAAAATATTGAGCGGAGAATGTTTAACGATGGTCCTAGGGACGCAACACTGTCTCAGACACGCGACCCTCGTATGAGGCGACAGTTACATGTGATTTGTGGGGTATTCAAATTTTGATGTAGGAGAGTGTAACAAGGCTACACGTACCCATAATGTAACGGGATTACATGTACAGGGAAGGGTCACACAAGATGGTGTGACCGTACAAAAGAGTTAATTACACAAGTCGGTGTAATCTCACATGGTTGTGGCTACACCGAAACAGGAAGCCACTTTGTGGAGGGATTGTCGGTAGTTAAGCACATTATTTATTTTTTTATTTAATTAGGAGAACCTTGGATTATAGATATAGGTGGCTCTGCCGCAGTTAAAAAATATAAATACAGTTTTCAAATTTGAATGGAAGAGAGTATTTGCCTTGGTTGAGATTTTGAATACTCTTGGAGGTGGCGGATTGCGATCCGCTACACTCGTACTGGTTCTAGTATAGAACGTAATGTCGGTAGCCTTAGTAAGCTCCCTACAAGCAAAGAGCTACGGCAGCCTCCCTGCAGCCTCTTTTACCGAGTTTGTGAGCTTAAACGTCCATTCTCGCTTGTGCCGTCCCGGCTTGGAGATCTCAAATGCGATGCGCAGTTACTCTGTTTGAAGCATGGTCAAATTTATGGTAATTTTAACTTCTCTTGTCCGAAGAATAGGCCATTCCAGCCTCATAAACATTATATTGATAGAAGGACTACTGTCACATAAAGTGGCACAAATTAAGTTGTTTTTTGATGTTATTGATTTTTATAAGCAGCTAAGCATTTTTTGATTGGTAGGGTTCAAATCAAGAAAATTTAACTCTGATCTTAGCAAAATCGGATGGCTGATTCGAATGGATAACAAGTATAGGATCAGAACGATAGTTCTAACGTCCAACGTTAATGTTGACACCTAATCTTTCTCTGCAGAAGGTACGGTAAGAGTGTCATGATATTTTTCTTTGACCAAAAAAAGGCATGCTAAGAATGAAACAAAACACGACTTTTCTTTTGAGCAGAAGATAAATACATTAGCGCATTAAAATTTTGTAATCATTGCTTTAATAAAATCAATGATGGATCAAAGTAGGTAAAAAAACGCTGAAAGATTCAGCTTTTCATTTTTGACGATAGCTATTTCTCGTCGGGATCTTTGCCTGTCTCGTACACAAAAGTTGGAGTCGTTCAGTCAATCTGCTGAATAATTTTTGAAGCTAATGCAGTAGATCCATTTTTGACAACGAGAAATTGTTGAGACATCACTTTTTTTAAATTTCTCTAGCTCCAAATGCAGAAAAAGTCGAAGGAACTTGAGCTATAAATCTAGCAATGCTCGCATTCGTGGACAGACGTGAGGCATTTAATGTCTTGGGGAATGAAAGGGATAGAAGAAAAGGTCATCGAGTCATGGAACTGCTAAACGTTTGGTTTATTCGTGTTTTGAACGCAACAATGGCAGTAAGCATGCTTTGGACCGCGCGCGGTTACGTTACGCCAGCTTTGAATACAATTTCGAGACGGCTATGCACAACTCCACGTAGAGATATTTCTTATGCATGCAGTCAAGTAGTTGTAATGGATCAAAATTGTCAATTACAAGACTTTTTTTCAGTTGTCCGCATGAAGGGCAAGACAAGGTCAGCAAAGTATCGAGATGATAGTCTCCAAGTCCTTGTCCTGTATAGCGAAATGTTTAAAAGCAGAGCTTACGAAAGAAACACTTTGGCCCAATCCAGATAGCTAAACAATGGATCTCGCTGCGACCTCACTAAACCGATTAGCGTTTCGCAAGGTGAAGTGTATGGTGACTTAGGGAATTTGACAGATGTTCTCTCTTATGGTAAGCAAGCGCTCGTAAAAAGGTCGCTAGGAGTACTGTACAGCCAAACCCACCAGGACGAAGATGGGATGGGAGATAAATACCATGCATGAACTCTTTCTGTAATTCCGATAACCACCGACTGAGGGACTTTTACTTTACCAAAGTGCGCACACCCACCGTGTGAACGTCCAAATTTCGCCCGCGGTCTGCATCATCTTGTTCATCTGCCCTGACGTAGAAAGTACCAGCTTTAACGCAAGCATTACCGTTACCTTAAAGTAATACGCTAGCACTTTGGTTCCTTACCAGTGAAAATAGGGCGGCCAACGAATTGGATCTATCAGATTTGTTTGCATCGTCATAGAAACGAGTAGTCTAGAGGTGGCATGCTAGAAATCTACAACTTAGCACGTTGGGTACAAGATTTGATATATTGACATTTTCCTTCTTGAAAAAGATTTCTAGACATCACTGGAATGGTCATCACTTCGTCACTTTTCTCGTAAACTTTAATTTTACTAGATAAAGTGAGTGTATTACCTTTTTTGTTATGCTGTCGTTCTAGCTCATTGTTTAATCGTTGCGACATGCATTAGTGACCAGCGTCAGTGCAGCTTTCATTCAATAATAAATATCTTTTGTGATTTCACTCGTTCGCATGCATCATTCAAAAAATTTCAGTTAAGCTCACTCTTCGTATCTCGTGCTTACCAATTAA